AATAAGTTCCGGACGGCTTTGTGCTTTTAAAGGCTCATTCCCAGATACATATAGAGTAAATTAAGCCAACAAAATTTTTTTCGAAAAAAAAATTCTAATTGTACTTCCCCCCTTAAGATCATTCTCTAGCTAATAAATCATCACACTAAAGCTTCATGTTAGCATTTCCAACCAACTCTGAAAATCGTTAACTTCGCATATGAAGTAACATTTAAACACTTTGAATATAAAAAAAATCAAAATACACCTTTTAAAGTCGGGTAGATTAATCGGAAATACTCAAGTTGACAGTCCCTTCAATTCTCTTGATCAACTTTCTCTTTGAAATAAATATTACAAATTTGATACGCTTATAAATAAAAAAAAAAACTGAAAGAGTTAAGATAATTGATAATTGATCAATTAAAATAACCAAATGTTCACATTTGTTCCGTCCACTAGCAGCGGTCCTAGGTCAAGCTTCCGTTCGTGCCCCTAGACACAAACCCTCCTACTTTTTTTTTTATCTAAGAGGGTGCTATCAAGACCAAAGACACTTTTTAAAAAAACCTAAGAAGTATTTCCATAGAGCATGCCCAATAAATTGAAATTCAAAAACATTCAAATAAATATTTTTAATTTCCGAAAATATTGTGAACTGAATAGCAATTCATTTCATCCCCAATTACTCGAGTAATAGTGCCAAAAATTGTACTCTCACTAACCACTAACTATTACAACTTCAATAGCGAACAAATTGATTTGGGCTCCCTCCGCTACAATTGAACCAGTCGTATCTACCAAAAAGAAAATCAAAGCAGATTGCATTCCTGTTCCTGCATACCGAGTGCACTTTAGGTTGGTTTGATCTGAATTGCTACCGATTTCAATTGAAAAATAGTTTGGACTAGTTCCACTTGTACCACACTTAAAGGGCTAGTAACATGTGCAGCTGAACCTGGAAGTGAAATAAATTCATTTTTTTCTTCTTTTTGGCTTTAATACGTCTCTCCTGTGACGCCGGCTCCCACCATAGTGTCTTTTGAGCACTTGCACAGTTGTAATTGAAAGCTTTCTAAGCTTACACCATATTTGTATAAGTATTATTGTGTGGCAAGTACAATCATATTTTATGCCCAGGGAAGTTTTTCCAATCCGAAAAAAATCCAAGACTAGTTCGGATATCGAGCCCAGCTGCCTCCATCATGGTCTTGTTTTATAGCTAAGGGCAGCTCCATTTGCATCTTGCATTTCTTAATTTTTTAACAGATAAAAGGATTGATAATCCGCTTTGCAATACTGAAACCAACGAGAATATGACTACTGCGGCGAACAGTATTTCCTGATACGATTCTATCAAGCGTTAGCTAGCGATGGGAAAATTCATTACTCCGTCTCTTATTTACCCCACCCAACACAAACTTCCACCGTGGCTGCTAGTTTAGGTTCGGCAAAAAACGACAAACATTTGCAGAAGTATGAACTCAGTTTTCACTTTGGCAAATATCACATTCCGTTTCCTGGAACGGTATGTTCATGCTGTCGGCATAAATCTGTTACAGCAGAACGAATGTGCGGCTGCAGTTGCTCGTCAAGCGGGATACGCGAGAAAAACAAGCAACGGAACTGGCATGCATCACACTTTGTGTATCTTTCCTGCCGTGCAGAGCTGCACGTAGGGAACTTTGATGTAGTAGCACAAATCCGGTCATATTCTTTCTGCTTCTGTTCATATATGTCTGCACATTCGATGTTTCAAGTGTGTACTTTTGCTGAGATTTATTGCTAAAAGGCGTAAATAAAGAGATTTTACTCATTTGTAAGAGAGATGCTTGAATTAGTGATGGTTTTTTTTTTTTTTTGGAATTGCATGAGCAAATCGATGAGCCAGCGGGTGAGAGGGAGGCACCATTCACCATCCCTAATCAATGGATTATTCGTACCTACATCAAAGTTGTCCTTTGCTAGTTTTCTAATTTCTATGAGCAACTATAACGTTAACGAGTAAAAATATTGAAATAGTTTTAAATAAATTGTCATTCTAACTTTGTCTGTCGTCAAGTAAAGACGTATTTTCTTGTAGTAGGGGAAACACTCCTATAGTTGCGGTACGTTAGAAGCGTTAGGTTCCTACAGTTGTGCATGGAGACTCAATACACAACTATAGGAACCTAACGTACCGCAACTACAGGAGTGTTTACCCTAGCAAATCCGATCTACGGTCATTTCATATTCAAGAGGTTGGGGGCCCGAAAAAGTTCAAGATGGTAAGATCCAGAATAGCGAAAATGCCGAACGAAAACTACGAAACCTGGAAGCTGGAGGTGGAATTCCTACTGGTACGAGAAAGACTTTGGAAATACATCGTGCCTGGAGTCAAGCATGGAAGAGACTGCAAACCGAGCGAACGCGACGGTGCTGACTGCCTGGGACGAAGGAGAATAGAAAGCGCGTTCGATCATCCTGTAACTGCTAAGCAGGAGTCAACACGGTCGTATCCGGGCAACGAAAGCCGCCAAGGATGTAAGGAAGAATTTAAAGAATTAACTGAAGCGGATCTGTGATATCGAGTTCCAGGAAGGAGACGACATCGAGCTGGCTAACGCTGGTACGAAGCTCAACGACGACTGGTAACCTTAGTGTTCCGCGGTCTACCCTCAAAAACCGGTCGGAAGACGAACCAACGCTGGCCCTTGTGAAGGATAATATCATCAATGACTTGCAGAGGCGAAAAGAAACGGTTCCGGCTGATTCAGCAGTATTGAAGCTGGACGGACAAGAGAAATCCACTGTGTGCTACCACTGTCAGAGAGTCGACCATAAGAAGCGAGACTGCAACCAGGATGAAGTTTTTCGAAGCGAAAAATCCGTTGTAAAGGAAACCAAGAAGTTTGCTAAGCAACAGGCATAAGCAAGAAAAGCGGGATCTACTAAAGAAGATTTCGTTTTCAGCGAAGTGAATCGTGGATTCTGGAACCAGCCCACACATGTGCGCCAATCGGGAGATCTTCGTATCCGTTGAGAAACCGCGAGATGATATCCCTAGTTTCTTAACAGTTGCTGACTGACGGGGATAAGGCTATCGTGAAAGGTGTGGGTAACTGCCAGATCAATTACTATGGGCAAAAAAGCGAAGCAAATCAAACCGTGCTCACTGGTGTGCTGTAAGTCACACATCTGGACATGAACCTTGTTTTCGTCGGAAATCTCGTACTGAAAGCTCGGGGGAGTTCAACGAGACTGGCTGTACAATTATCAAAGGTACACAAATTGCAGCTGTGGCAAGGCCAACAAGGTTCTCTACCGCATATGGAGGAACGCGTGAGTGCAGTGAATGAGCATTTCGATGAAAAGAGCTGTGCATTGCATTAAAATTAAACAGTGCGGTTTGGTTTTGCCTTATGAAACTTTTCTGCAGGGAAAGATGGCACGACTGCCATTCCCAAAGGAAGCAAAAATGAAGACGACGGTTGTGATGGGCCTGGTACACAGTGACCTGTGTGAACCAATGAGGGTGGTCCGCATTTTCCTAACGCTTATTGATGATAACAGCCGTGTTGTGTATCTGTTCCGAGAAAAAATCTGCAGCTATCCAGGACTACGTGCAAAAAATTAAGACGTTATTTGGCAGTGCTACGATGCGGAGAATAACGAGGCTCAAAGATCATGGCGTTCCTCAAATGTGACGGCATCCAACAACAATTTATGGCAGCATATTCACCACAGCAGAGTGGTGTCACCGAAAAAAAGAACCGTTGTTTGATGGAAATGTTCAGGTGTCTGCTTATGGAGGCAGATATGCATAATCTCTACTAGAGAGAAGCAATCAACACTACAAATCATCTGCAAAACATGTTGCAAACTCCGTACGAGATTTGGCATGGAGTCAAACCGGCTGTTTCGACCTGCAAGTGTTCGGAACGTCAGCTTACGTATTTGTTCCTGATGTCAAACGATCGAAGCTCGAATCCACAGCCATTGTACACAAACAGTGTGGCGTTTCATCATCATGAGGACGAACAAGGCGTCGAATAGTCGAGATACTCGATTCATACCAACGTTGAGCGGAAACTTCCACAGAGGACAAAGGTACGTTATTCTTTCCATTAACGTTATTTGATCAAATCCGTAGCGAGACGGATACACTGGAGGAACTGAAGCAGCATGAACCAGCTATCGTGGATGTCTATCGTGAGATCATACAAGTAGAAGATTTTGATGGTCTCTAAGACCATAGGGATGTCAGTCTGATGGTTAAGCAGAATCGCCCGGTGAAGGCACAGGCGGAGTCAATACCAATCTATGTTGAGCCACGCACCTATTAAGAAGCTGTGGTTATTCCAGAGAAGGATTCGTGGAAGTGGGCCATGCAGGAAGAATTGCAATCGATGAACGAGAACAACGTGTGGGGCTGACAACGTTACCGGTTGATAAGAAAACCATTGAAGGTCGCTGGATTTTCAAGAAGAAAATGAAGATAATGGAAAAATTATAACACAAGGCCTGCCTATTTGCGCAAGGATTCCCGCAGCAATTTGGAGTCGACCATGACGCAGTTCTTGCTCTTGTTGTGAAGTAAATAACGTTCAGAATGCTATTCTCCGTTGCCAGCCAGAGGAAATCATTATGCATGCAGATGTCAAGACAGTGTATTTGAATGGAGACTTTCAAGAATCTGTATATATATATGCGATTACCACCTGTCAGGGTATCAGTATATAGAAAATGTAGTTTGTTGTCTTCGCAAAGATTGTACGGGTTGAAACAAGCCGTCTATAAATGGAACCACAAATTGGACACTCATGCAAATTAGGGTTTAATCCTTCTAAGAGCGATTGCTGCAAACAATTGAACGTCAGGCACAATGGAAATAAGATCGCCTACATTTTTGTATATGATACTGATAATAACTCCAAGGCCATCGTCAAAAAGCTGAACCAATATTTTACAGTGACGTCGCTTGGAGTTATCAATTATTTCCTTGGTATCCAGGTCATATGTTCTGATGAAGACGTCGCACTATGTCAGAGTTTCTACATTCAGAAGCTTATGGTAAGATTCGGTCTGGAAAACGCAAAGCCCACCGCAAAACCATTGGACCCGGCCACCTACATCCATCGGAGAAAATCTGGCTGCCGAATTACCAACAGTATTCGAGCTTCATTAGTGGGTTGTTGTTCGTGGCCATGTGTACCCGACCTGATATTGCAGTAGCAGTTTCAAGCCTGGGTAGAATAACTAGTTGCCCATCACAGGCTGATTGGATAGAGGCGAAGCGAATCCTAGGAGCAGATTTCATGCAATTGGAGGTGTTCGTAGATGCTGACTGGGCCGGCGACACCAGGGACCGCAAGTCAACTACAGGCTACTTGATCCGGTATGTAGGTGGTATGATTGCATGGTGCCCCAGGAAACAAGAATGCGTAACATTGAGCAGTTTGGAAGCCGAATATGTTGCTATAACGGAGAGCTGGATATTACGCTTAATCGACGATCTGGGAATCCACACAAGCTATCAGTTACTGTGAATGAGGACAACCAAAGCGCCATCAAGCAACTAGAATCCAACTCCAGTGAGCACCGTTCAACACATGTTGACATGAAGTCTGAAGTCTGCAAACGAAACGAACTCAGAGAGTGAATAAGTTTTACTCAACATCATGCAATATGGTCCCAACTCGAAAAAGTAAACCCATTTTTTCCCGATAAAGGGGCACACCTCATATAAAAAACAGTAAAAATCATTGGACTGTTTATTTTTGGATCGTATATTTGATAGAATGAATGAAACACACTCGCTTCAGTCCAATGGAAATGAAAATATCCATATTGTACATGTTGACACTTAACGCAGAAATAGAGAAGATTTTTTGAACACACACGTTGATTCTGGAAATTCACAGATTTTAAGTAGTGCCAGTATTTCACGAAACAGACGACATGCAATCTTTGTCGAAAGAAAAGAGGATAAAAAATAATGAAAGTTATGAAAAATATAACTATAACTGTATGTTGAATGTATGTATTGGGCTTAGTGCAGTCTATTGGGGGCACAGGTAATGCTAAACTTAATTTAAGTTAACTTAAACAAGTTTTAGATGAAAGCAATTTTTAGTCATAGTTCTGCAACATAAAGATTTATGATGTCAGGTGCAGTTTGATTTCTAACGTTGTTTTGCCATGACTAACATTAGAAAGTTTCCGAAAGTTGGGTAAATATGTGTGGAACTGATTTTCTAATATTAAAAATTGAATCTTAATTTTAAAATTTATTCAATAACTACCCAATTTCAAAAATTTGTATAATGAATTGTTCACTTTGAAGTTAAATGTTCAAACCATTTATTTTGTTATTCATATATTATCGAATGGAGCAGTGAAAATAATCTCATAGTCCTACGTCAACAATGGGGTCATGCTTTGGAAACAACCCTTAACTTTTTAAGTTAGTAACAGAAGGCATACACAAGAGCGAGAGGGTTTGGATTGCTGCAAATCAACAACATTCCTGAAGGGAGGAAAAACTATGGCTCTCTTAAGGATCTCGCACACAATTGGTTGGACGAATTACAATGGAATTTAGATTGGCATAAATATGCAGGGCCATCTTTTAATAGAAAATTGGCCAAAGTAAAATAAAGGGTCCGTGTGTATATACTGATATATCTAAAAATGCAGTGTCATTAAATCAACACTCAAACGCCAGCATCACGACGCCGTAGGAGAACCCGCTGTAGCAGTGACAGTGAGTGAGTATTGAATTTCTTAAACCCTCACATACATACAAACATATCTGTGAAAACCCACACTCACACGCCACAGAAAAGGGCAAATAAATGTTTCATACTTAGTATCGCGTCTCTTGATCACCCGGTAGTAAACTGAATCTGAGACCCAGTTCGAGAAGTCTCTTGCTACTAGTGAGTTGTCGGGTTAACTGTTTACAGTGTAGAACCACCCGAAATCTAATACGACAATATAATAATAAAATTTAACCATCTCGGATAAGATTAGAACTGTGGCTTGGTATATTCTAAGAAGATGAATTAGAACATATGAAAAAAATTAAAAAAAACGGCGTTATCATATCTTCAGTAACGTTTGACCTCAACCATCAATTCTTACCAATAATTACAATACACAACGAAAGCGGTTATTCATGCAAAGTGTGAGCAACGTTTAGGGTTGCTAGCTCGTGTGAAAAATATCACCATGTTGCCAGTTATTTTATTTGTCTTTGCGTTTCTCTCTCCTATAGAGCTCTAGTTTCTACTGTCTTAAATACACCAGCATTTGATCCTTTTGAGTTACAAAGCTCATACTCCATATTTTCTTTGGTCGGCTTTAATGTGGTACGAATCTGATGGGGGAAATACTGTACTTATATACTCTTAAACATCATGTAACCCTCAGTCGATGAGACGAACGCAGGTTGCCATGGTATCCAACGAAGTGATCCTCTTATCCAGTTTCAAAATTCAATGCCCACTCCAATAAGCTGCTCCGGTATTTTCACGGATGACATTAGTCTCAATTTAGTACGGTTCGACTTTGTTACATCGAAAAACCTCCCGAAGCGCTAACTGAGTGCGGCGTGAAGCGTGTGAAAATCATTTGATCCTTTTCCCCCGTATTCTTGGGAAACTCTACCATCCCCATTTCCATTTTTTTTATGTACTCTGCCGACTGTCAGCACAGTACAGTGGCACAGCAGCGGGAGTGGTGCAAAACACAGGAATTGAGTAACAAACACCGCATCTCCTGTTACACGCTTGCACAGGAGCGTGCAGCCGCGAAAATTGTTTTTCACGCTACCTAACCCACACACCTTGTTGGAATTCCCGTTCATCCATATGGCCTGGCATGGCCCGAATGGGAGTGAAAGCCAAACGTGACAAGGTATACCGTGAGGATCGGGTTAACGTGGGGGAAAGGGGAATTTTTCGGCGCAAATGTGTGACACATGACTGATGGTTCATCGCCGTAAATCAGAAGCCTAGGTTTGCAAATCAGTGCTTTTAAGGGGAACAGATGATTACTTTTAGATGAGACCTGGCTTACATGGTTTGAAACTAGATCCCGGGAATGTTTCTGGTTTTTTAGTGCTGGTTTTGTCCTGACGGAATACCTCTGACGCCACGTTGAAAAGCCCTGATGAGAACTAATACCTTAAAAATTGTATCTTTAAGGATTCATATCAAATCAAATTATTCTATTCAATCATACTCAGCATGAATTATGCCTAAAAATGATTTGGTTAATTTTACAGTACTAAATAAAGTTATTGTGAAAGCTAATTAATAAAATCACCGGCAGCAACAGGCTTCGCTTCGCTTCGGGAATTTCTGCGCATTCGCTCATTTTTCTGCCGTTGTAAACAGATTCCATTTCATTTGAAACCGAGAACAAAACAAGCCAACAAGTATGCTCGATTCGCCTGAATTAAACACCATCTTGAAGCATTTTCTGTGTGCCTTAGTTGTTGCCTTCAAATTTGAATTTTTCTTTGCAAGAAAATAATCATCTTCTTGACGCAACACGGTCCATCAGCTAGGCGCAACAGTGGGAATGACGGCTTGGAGATTCATCTTGCTCCAGGAACGTGACAAAGTGAAAATCAGCACCAATTTGATTTCGTCACCATCGAACCAGAAAATGAAACCAGACATAGGTCTGCTCCCATGCTCATTCATTCGTCGAGCACGAGCGACAGTCAGTCGTCATCGTCATCGTCCTGGTTCTGAATTCTGTTTTGTTCTGTGAGTGAGGGAAAATTAATTCAATTCGCGCCAACCAGACGAGAGCTTTGCTTACCTCTAATGATGTTTTTGCAACTTTTACGTTGATCTGTTAATTAGACATATTTGTTTTCCATCCTGACGATTGCTTGGCGGGTTTGAGCCCCGCACTTCAAAGTGACGAAAACAAACCTATTGACATGTTGATCGTAAATCAAAAATTATGGACTGATGGCTTGGAGGCTTTGAATTACCTTCTATTTTTCTCTCTTCGCGACTCTCCCTCAGATCTAGACTTATTTTCGCTAGTCAACTTTCGGCAACATATTGCGGGTGCAATAAAAATAAAACAAAACCGACTGCGTTACGAAAAGGGGTCAGGTTTTGATCACTTATAACTCTGTCAATAGTGGATGGATATTAATTCTAAACAAGCCAATCGATTGTAATGTCATCTACGAATCTGCTCAAATGAACACTATTGGTCACTGTTATTGAAAATTGCACAAACGTGCAATTGTTACTATAATAATGAAAATTATCACCAATTGACTGCGAAAAGCGCTTTCCCTAACACAGATTTAAAAATCGAAATCATTCCGGTTTCACCGAACGATGTTTATTCTATCACCGCGTGTGGTGAGTTGGGCTATCCAGTGGTCATCATCATCAGCAGCAGCAGTGTTTTCCAGTAGACAGGGGTGCATCACAGAATCTTTACCAGGTTAAGTTCTGTGTAAGCCATGAAGGTTGAACACAGGCCCTTTGAGGTGAGACGCAATCATGCTTCAACCTACACCACCGGCGCGCTAGGCGATGCATTTGTACAAATGTAGAAATTAAATTCCAACCTGTTAGCATTAATCGACGTGGTTGTTGCTCTTATTCATTTAAAACGTACAACTTGGCCAAACTTAGTCTATAAGTATATTGCTCGATTGAGTAAATTTTCGTCAATTTCCCTAATATTCAGTATTGCCTGGAAAAGCGAGGAAAATTTTACTCATTCATTGAGTAACCCCACTTTTTGCAATTTTGAGTTTAATTCTGTTATTGACAGTGTTTACTTTTCGGTTGGTAATGTTGTATTGAACTATGAGATGTTTGCCTTCTTTTAGTTAAAATTTACTAGGCTGGCGCCAAATGGGTTAAGTCAATAACAAAGGATTCGAGGGTCTTCAAAGCACCCAATTTAATACGAGCATCAATTAATTCTACATTGTTCAATATATGAATAAAAATCTCAAAGCATAATACAATTCCCAGAATTGAAATTTTCCCCACCCTCCAGTTTATTTTGCATATTTCAAGATCAACAATTGAAAAGGCCATATCAGCTTTTGTAAACAAAATTTCTGTCGTCGTTTTTCTAGTGATTTGAAGCTCGCCTACGCACAGCACTATCGGCTAGGGGAAGCTTTCACTGGGTGTGCATAGGAGAGCTACGATTCACGATAAAAGACCGCAAGAAGTTTTGTTTACATCATGATGAGGCCTTTTAAATTGTTGATCTTGATTTGGCAAACTCAGTTTCTTCCTGTTTTTCATGACTAACTTTCCATTTCACCACGGTTGAGTTTGTATACTACAAACCAACACTTTCGAATTTCGGACCCATTCGATCCCGCGCGCCAAGCTG